CGTGGGGGACAAAAAAAAACACCGGGAAGTTTTTTTTTTTTTTTTTTTTTTTTTTTTTTTACATTGTCTCCTTGCTTTAAAAACACATTTCAGCGTATGGATGTTTTGTGACCTTCAGGCTTTCTGCAAACTACTGGGAGGTTGGTTGTGAGCGTAATGCTGTAAGGGCATTCGGGTTTCCCTGCGCCCTGTAGTGATCGTGTTCTGCCTTTTATTCTTTTTTATGTGGAGGGAAATTGTTATGTTCATATCGTCTGTGTGCTGTTTGTTCTCTTCTGTATCGTGGCACTTTCAGTGTATAAGTTTAGCGACTAGTATTATGTTATCAATTAACACGTGAGCATTAAAACAGGGAACAGTTTTTTCAATACACCCAGAGCGGAGCCCTAAAAATAAATAAAATGGGAAAACCATAAAGAAAATCAATGCCCAGCCCAAAGTATGGGCTTCTCCCAAATATACTATGAAGTTCTCTGTAAGGATGTCTCCTTATACATGTTATTAGGTATAAAAACAGCAGCGTGACAGGAATCATTGATGTCTCAGACTTCTTTAAAATAATCTGTTGGATTTAAATGTAATGGTACCCTTAACTGAAGGTGTGTTTTTGGGTCTGATTTTACATATAACGGTGTGGTAATCGTTATTAGAAATAAGGTTTGAATCTTCTAAGATTATGCTTCTGTCCACCCTCACTACCAAAGAAGAGGCAATTGTGTAACAGTTCCCAGTGGTATCGTTATAACTTTCTGGCCAGGTGATCCGTAAAGATTCTTTCTGGTTCAAGTTACTTTCTCTTTGTGCTAGGTCTCAAGCTATTCTGAGATAAACTAGCGGTGTGACTGGGACTTACTGCTAGGAAACTTAGTTCTGTGGAGCTTGTACAGCTGTGTGTGACATTAAAATTGCAACTCAGGTGGCAATTTTGATAACTGAATATGCCTAGAATTATGATAGATTTGTAGTATTGACTTATTGCTCATCGCTGTATTGGGAACTTACCTGATCTGTTATGAAGACATGAATCCTGACCAAGAGTCTCAAACACGATCTACTAAACTCTAGAAGATAAACTCTTTTCTACACCCATTGGTTTTTGTCTTCTAATTTTTACTTTGCTATGTAATCAGACAGGCATTGCACAGCTTGAAAAATAGTTTGTGCTGTTCTCCAAGGGTTTTACTACCTCGTGAGTCCTCTTTCAGACAAAGCTTTAATGTATTATTTGGTTCGCTACTGTTTTGAAGGGGCATTTGCAGTCATGAGGAGAACAATTTCAGGTCAAGTGATACAGTGGGTTATACTACAGCAGCTCAGATACATTGGCTAGTCTAGGTAACTTCTGGTATCATTGTGCAAATATTTAAATTTGTGTGAATGATGAATCACAGGAAATGTATGTGTCTTGCTTCATGCACAAAAAAATGTGCTATATGTTTGGCAGGTGTCTTAAAAAAAATTGTTTGAAGTACAAGATTCAGGTAGCTAGCTGTACAAAATATGAGAGGAATAAGAATTCTACCTTTCTAGTGTGTGACAAGTTTGTTTGGGGAGGGAGGAAACAGATATAGTCTACCTGTGAGAAGACAGAAGGCCTCTTTATCTTATGATGAATGGATACCTCTACTATATTAACTTAATGTAGGACAATAGACTAGATCATACTGATAGACATGTACATGCTTTGTATATAACTCTCTACAAAGTTAGGTATAGTCTCGTGCATTTTGAGAAACCTAATTTTTCTTTTAGTAAATACTGCTGGTTCTACACCCTGGGTGGTCATTTTTATGTAACCAGAGTAGCTCTAG